AAAGGCGTCTACGCTCGCGAGATCCCGCGAGAATCCACGAGATCCCGCGAGATCTCACGCGATCCCACCGGATGGGGCGCCATCTTGAAACGCGTCCGCCATCTTGGCCCGGAGGTGACGTCATCGTCATGTGCGCGCACCCACCGGAACCGGTCGTGACGTCATCGCGATGCGTGCGCACCCACCGGAACCGGAAGCACCGGAACCGGAACACGAGTGATCTCCCCTGATGGCGGCACATCCGGTCCCCGTGGGTCGCCATCTTGATCCAAGATGGCGGCGCCGTTTTTTTAAGGAATTGAATTGTTTGAAATGTTTTGATTAATATATAAATAGCACAATCGCCAGCGGCTGAGTGATGGTGTAAATCCAGCTAGGGTCCATGAAGGTAGCAAAAGTACTGTAAGTCCCCATGATCCTTAGTATAGTGATCTACCTTCATGGGTTGTTGGCGATCTATCGCCTGATTTCGAATATTGTATCGTCTTCAATAGTTCAAAAGTTTTAGTCTTCAATAGTTAAAAGTTTTACATTTACATACTTTTACAACTCAATCACTCATGACGTAACCCTATCTGGTAGCGAGTCTGTTATTGTGGTGGTGGTGGTGGAATTGGGTTTAACGTCGTGCTTGAGAATATTTCGCTCATATGACGACGTGCATGCGTGTGTATGTGTATGTGCGGCTGCTTGTACTAGCCCAGACTGAAGCTGGTTTTATAGTGCTAGCCCACTGAGATACCATGCCGCAGTGAAGCATGAATACCCCACTCAGACACATTATACTGACTCCGAGCCGACCAGTCCTTGTTGTACCCATTAATGCCGAGCGCCAGGCAGGGACTAACAAGTACCATATTTTAACGTCTTTTGGTATGACGCGGTCGGGGATCGAACCCGCGACCTTCCGCACTCCGGGCGGACACTCTAACCACTACACCACGGAGGTGGTCCTGTTATTGTGAGAGAGGTAGTAGGCAATGAACTGCGAGATGTTGCAAAACAAGATTGAACTTCTGTGAACCAAGACTATTGTCACAAACATATCCCTGACAGTTCAGCTTCATGACTCACAAGAAAAGCAACCCATATATAACCCGATACGTTATGGACTTTGTCGGACGTTTAACAAATACACGTATTCGCATGAAAAGACACGATACCTGAGGTAGAGAATCAGGCTCAAATGTCAGTTAGCATAAGGCTGATACACACTTGTATTGTGGTTTAGAATACGATAGAAACTGGGTAGATAGTTAAAAGAAACGCGCATACGTTGTTGATTGAATGCTTTAGCACCCAGGTCAGTGAATGAAGAAAAATCTGAATGATTTCCACGGATAGAATGTTTGCATTTGTCATTGCATAAATGACTATATCACACAAAGAGATCATGCTTGAGCAAATACGGAACATGACGCATTATTATTACATGATTTGCAAAAAATTAGACACTGCATTAGTAATTCAAGCGTGATTGTTGATAAAGAAATGACATTAGCATATTATCGCATAGAGTCGCTATGACTGCGTCGTCGGCGTTTGTGCTACAATTTCGACACTATCCCTGGGAATTCTTGTTCCATCACGAGTATGTTTGTAACAAAACACATGCTGACATGAGGACAATTGAAAACGAAACAACGAAACGAAACAACGTTACCTACAGAAAGTCTGTGAAAATGAACGAAACTTGCGGCAATTTGTTTTTCAATATTTTTTTTCAAACAACACAACACGCCTGTATACGTTTCAAAATTTAATGCACCGACACGATGGCAAAGAGTACCTTGGAAAAAGGCCGTGATAATGCCAAATGAACTCATAATTGTGTTCCTCCAGTGAGTCAATCACTCAAACGCATGCTCCCTCCGTTGTCTCCAAACCATGCTCAGCATTTCATGTTACCCTCGTAAGAGGCGACTAACGGGATAGGGTGGTCAGGCTCGCTGACTTGGTTGATACACGTCATCGTATCCAATTACGTATATCGATGCTCATAATGTTGATCACTGGATTGTCTGGTACAGACTCAATTATATACACACCGACGCCATATAGCTGGGATATTGCTGTGTGTGGCGTAAAACTAAATACACTCACTCACTCTTAAATCAGACTGATTTTTTTAAAGCCATTTACAGACAAGTTAATTACAATTTGGAGAACTTTTAAATACGTTTCGTTTATCTCTTGTTATGCATTTGAAGTACTTATGTATCAGGGTCAAACGAGCAAAGTTCACGGACATAAAATATACTCATGGAAACAAATAAGGGAATATATGAAAGTACAAGTGTTCCTTTTTTCTTTTCCAAGTTTCTTCACAAGGTATATTTTGCACTGTGGGTGAAATTCTGGAAATAAATAAAGGAACACTTGTACTTTCATGTGTTCCCTTATTCGTTTCCATCAGTAAATTTACGCAAGACCTATGTTTATCATGTGACATTTGTCCTGAATTTCAAGAAATGAATTGGCGGACATTAAACCTCTACTATTCTTGGTATATCAAACACTGAGGTGAATGACTTTAAATTCGAGCACACGCCTGTTCTATCGAGTGTAAACACAAACTGAATCAATTCTATGAATAATGCGAATCATATGTTTAACCTGCAGCAGTGAAAGTAGGTCGAGCTCCGTCGTCAAACCAGGTCATGTATGTCGGTATCATCAAAAGGACATTGGCGAAATAATACTATGGTTTGTGCAGTGATGTCATAAAACATAAGATAATGCCGTTAATCTCATCTTTCTTAAATACTCAAATATCTGATTCAGTTCATAAAAAGGGGGCGGTGGGGTAGCCTAGTGGTTAAAGCGTTGGCTCGTCACGCCGAAGACCCGGGTTCGATTCCCCACATGGGTACAATGTGTGAAACCCATTTCTGGTGTTCCCCGCCGTGATATTGCTGGAATATTGCTAAAAACGGCGTTAAACCATACTCACTCACTCACTCATAAAAAGGCCACGGTGTGGGTTGAAAGTGCTATTCAGCATCCCATGCTTACCGTAGGAGGTGACTAACAGGCTTTGGTGGTCAGGCTCTCTGGCCGGTTGAGGCATGTTCTTGCCAAATGCATGATCAATGCTTGTAATATCGATCACTAGATTCTCCGATCCAGACTTGATTATTTACAGACCGACGTCACATAGATCACATGGTGTTCAGTACGGCGTAAAACAATAAACAAACAAACTGGCACAGAGCCCAGTAAATGAACATCGTAAGTGGATCAAGTGATCAATAACAGAATCGATTATTTTATTAACTTCGAGCCATCTTATACCTCGACGGTTGATCGGTGCTCATATTATTAACCACTTGTTTCGGGTTCTGGTTATTTACTGACCGATGTCATGCGGTGCCAAACAACGAACAAGCATAATTTTACAAAACATCAACGCTGGTGCCAAACCATAAAGAAATATGTTTAGACACCAAGTGTTCGCGTTTCGCGTATTCTTCTAGCAGTATCAGGCAATGTATTCTAGAGATGGGTTTCACATATTAAAGTAATATGGGGATCGAACCCGTGTCTTCTGTGTGACGAGTCAGCACTTCAGCCGTTACGATTCCCAACCGTCCTATTGAAGTAAATGCGGTATGACTATTCCACCTAAAAAAACATGGATATAGTGTACAAAACTTGCGATAGTCCAGACTTATACAAACAGCCACACGCTCATGTTTATGAACGTCACTATATAAGTGCAAACATATTCTTGATCGCAGCTTGACACCTACTTTCACCTCACCTATTCAGACATACCGCAGAGTATTGAAGGAAAGTACGACATAAGGATTTTACATGCGCTCGTAAAGGTTTGTCCCAGACAACAAGACGTTGTGTAGGCCAGTGGTTAAAGGGTTTGCTCCTCTCACCAAAACCGGGATTGATTCCTTATAAGGGTGAGTGAAGCCCATACCTGAGGTCCTAAGCCGTGGTATTACTAGAATAGAGCTCAGAGCAGTCTAAAACCACACTCATGGTCTCAAACGTATTGGCAGTCCTAAGGCTAAATCAGTAGCCTCGAGGCAACATTCACAGCAAAGACAAATGTGAGTGAGTGAGTTTAGTCTTACGCCGCAGTTAGCAATATTCCGGCTATATGGCGGCGGTCTGTAGGTAATCGAGTCTGGATCAGACAATCCAGTGATCAACAGCATGCGTATTGATCTACGCAATGGGGAACCGATGACATGTGTCAACCAAGTCAGCGAGCCTGACCACCCGATCCCGTTAGTCGCCTCTTACGGCAAGCAGGTTACTGAAGATCAGTTCTAACACGATCTTCACAGATAACAAAGCGGTGTGAAGGAGAAAAGTAAGAAGAAGAATGCGACGTTAAACCCAGTTTTATCACTATCTCAACTGCGCGATACCTAAAAGAATAGTATGTGTTGTGTAAATGTGTTGTACGCTACTGACCCTTTGAGAACATTTATTGGCTTGAAGACAGATTGAAGTATCAAAACGTATCCGAATAAGACTTACGTAATATCGTATGAGGCAAATCCCCCAACTCTGATAGAACAAATGTGGTGCGTGCGAGTTTCATGACCAAACGATATTGAGACGTGACTTATTTTTTCGTCCTATCATGTCCCTCTCCATCACCAGATGTGAATCCGATCGAACGCGTGAGTGAATTAAAATTCAACGTCTCATCGGCATTATTCTAGCCATGCAGCGACGAAAACAAGTTTACACATGTTTACTGAACGCTTATGGAAGGGACTGGGTCGATTGCGTCATCCTGAACGGCAATAACTGCAAGAGCTTGTAGATGCACTTCATGTAGGATGGGGAGACCATCAGTGATCACACTTCGTGAATGAGCAGAAGCGGCAGACAGCAGTTAACACTAACAGTAAACACAGAACCATTAAGTTCTCCTGATCTGAACCTGTTTGTTAAACAACTGTTATTTTTTTTTATTTTGCCATATTGTATACGTGTTCCACTAAGGTACAGGTTATAATAAATCACCATTGCTCAAATATTCAGTTTTATTCAGTTAAGTGTATACTGATTGTCTTCCCACTCCCAATATGTTAATAGATTTTTCTTCTTTGAGGGATGTATCGACATGTTTTTTTAAGAGCTGAAAAATTTAACTTAATTAACACAACGACAAACAACGGCCGATAACTCTTGACAAGGTTATCATAAATAAATGTTCAGAAATATCTTCAATTTCGAATTATACATTTTCTCAGGGCGAAGTCCTAGAGATTGCCTTGGGTTTGTAGTAGGCTGTGATGGGGTGGTCTCGATGTGACCCACAATGTTGCCAGAAGTAGTCAGCCCTGGCCAAGCACTCGCTGGAGTCATGATCTGGAATAAGAAATGTTTCCCAAATCACGTTGTTTAGTATTTATCAAAGTTGATAAAACGAAACAAGGTTTAAAGAATAGCGATTCAGATGTATGTGTCACATCAAAAACACTTCATAAGTTTGTTTAAAGGATGTAGTCTTCAAGTCATGGCCGGCGTCCATTAAATAATTGAAATAGATTCAGATAAACACGTGACTGACATTCACAGCATTGTCTCGAACCTAATGTTGACTCGCAGCCACCACTTCACTGATTTTGATCACCAGATCATGGTAAGGTGAAATGGGGTTTACGTCGTACTTAAGAATATTTCGCGCATATGATGACGTGCATGTGTATTTGTGGCTGCTTGTACTAGCCCAGACAAACTGGTGTTATAGTGCTAGCTCACTGAGATACCATGCCGCAGTTAAGCATGAATACTCCACTCAGACACATTATACTGACGCTGAGCCGACCAGTCCTTGTTGAAACCCATTAATGCCGAGCGCCAGGCAGATCAAGAGCTCACCAGATCAAGATATATGCTTAATTCGACAAATACGAATTGCTGCACATAGTAAGATGAAAATGTGCACATATATTCATCTTCTCATAATAAATATTCAGGGGCAATGGTGTACCTGAGGCCGTAGAATGGGGTCACCTTTACGTGTTGTGTCGAATCCGGGTCTTCACGGTTGCATTTAAGTAGTAAAAATGACCTGATGGAACAATAAATTCTCACTGCCTGACTGACTCACTCACTGACTGACTGCCTGACTGACTGACCGACTGACTCACTCTTTTACTTGTGTCAAGGTTGGTGACTCACTCACTCACCTGTTTCAAGATTGGTGACTCACCTGTGTCAAGGTTGATCACTCACTCATTCTTTTACCCGTGTCAAGGTTGGTGACTCACTCACAGTTTTACCTGTGTCAAGGTTGGTGACTCACTCACTCACCTGTGTCAAGGTAGGTGACTCACTCACTCACCTGTGTCAAGGTTGGTGGCTCCCCATGCGTCGTAGAAGAAGCCGGTCAGTTTGTTGTCTGAAGGACAGGTCGAGATCTTGATCCAGCATCCGCCTCCTACATGTCTCGTAGCACCTTCGAATAAAATGTCCGAACAGTAAACAGAAGCCTCTTAAAGGTCATTACATGATGATACGACCCGTGAAGATCCGGTATAGAATTGGTCTTCAGTAACCCATGCTTGTGATTAGAGGCGACTAACGGGATCGTATTGTCAGGCTCTTTGCGATAGCAATAGGCTATTTCGACTTACTACTGCAATACAATAAATAAAATACAATTGAATGAATTGTCTCAATTGCAGTGATTTCCCAAATGAATGTATAGATTATATGAAACAGAAATAGTTGAAGTAGTTTCATTCTCTTTTACTAACTGATAAGAAACTTGAAATCCAGATCAAGTAAACATTTAAAACGTAAACATATTGTTATTCACAATTTCATACTCAATGCATCGATAACTTGCGGTTTCTACGATCGATTAATTGATATCGGAGACTCAACAATTGCAATCCATCGATGGTTCGATGCATCGTTACAACACTAATATGTATGACCGTAGCTGTCATACCATAGCATAGCAAAATTGTCCTGTCGTTAAATGTTTCTGTTTATAGTTTACAGTTTGTCCGTAGTGGTTCCCTTGACCATTAGATCGAGTCATGAATAGAGGACAGCGAACTACACTGTACTGAGTTGTGTCCCTTAGGCTTGTCTTGCTCCTGTGATCAGTTCGAATTACAGGTTCATCTTGACTATGGTCCTTCAGTTGTCAACACAGTTACAATACTTCAAAGGGTTATCTATATATCTATGATCTTCGCTGTGTCTGGTGTCCCTCCTAAAACAACATTACCCCGTCATTATCTGTAATTCTACAAGCGTTTCCACACACAACTCAGTCGCTCATTCACGGCCTGTTCCAAAAGACTTACCTGTTGGGCCATAGATGCTTGTGTAGGGGTGGGCAGGGTCAGCCCCACACCACGTCCACTGGACATTAGCTCTGCCCAAACACTTCTCCTCGTCTGTGAGTCCTCCGTGAGCCTCCCCGTAGCCATCAACCTCCAGCCTCCCAGGGTGGGCGCCGCCATGTTTGACACACCCGTAGTCGGCGAAGTAGCAGTGTTTTCCAGCAATTGTCATGGCGCCTGGAATAAAATAATCATTTAAACCTCAATAGAGACCTACTTCAACGTTTTCACCAACAAATACCAAAACAAGGTCATTAAAATTGTCCAATCCAACAATAACCATTTTGATGCACCAGATGCTGTTGTACAAAGCGATCTTAGCGCTAAGGAAATCATAACTCTCATACCTTAACAGACCTACGACAGTCGCAGCGCGAAGATCGCTTTGTACAACAGCACCTTAGTGTCTCATTTCGTCACCAATAACACGCTTACCCCAGACACACTACAGAACACAAAATATGAACTGATGGATAATTTCAATGATCTTGTTTAGTAATTGTTTGTGGAAACACAGACTTACGACGACAGTCGTAGCACTAAGGGTGTTTTGTACAGCAGGACGCAGAGATGTAAATGTTAATAGCGTGAGTATGCATTGAGATGCTCTTATTGGTTGCCTGAATTTTGGTAGTGATCAAACCTGTTGGACCGAAGACTGCAGTCACAGTTTCCTTGTCAGGTGAGCCACAGTACCTCCACTCATTTGCTGCCCTCTTCAGACAGTTCTCCTCCTTTACCCCAGTCTGCTCATGCTGCTCCCCCCACACGTCCCGCTGTGTGCCGCTGACGGGGTGGAGGGGGCAGCCGGTGATGATCAGCCAGCAACCTGAAAAGATTCAACCCCCTTATTGGACCCTGGTCCAGACTCGATTATTTACAGGCCGCCTTCTTATAGCTGGAATATAGCCGAGTGCGGCGTGAAACAACAAACAATCCAACAACTAAACATGACACACGTTAGAGTATTTCGGGGGGGGGTTGCCTGTGGATTAGTCATCTTAGGACAACCTGCCACTTGATCAGAGGCAGAAGATACACCAGATAAACTAAGCAGACACGTGTTGCTGTGTTAAGTAACACTCGGCATTTTAACTAGTTGACGGCGGTCTGTAATTCGACAATCCAGTGATTGACACTATGAGCATCGATCTGACATGAACCACGTCAGCAAGCCTAACCACCCGATCCCGTTGTCGCATCTAACGACAATTATTACTTGCTGAGGATCAGTTGTGGCAGTGTTAGCAGGTGTGTGCCCTACAATTGCCACACAAAGAGTTGTAGTTAAATGATGTGACGAAGAAGCATCAATTTGGACGTAGAGACTTTAAGCAAGAAATGTTTCCAATAATCACCTTGTTTCTGGATATTTGGGTAGAGTGTATTTGGCCCGGAGCCGTCTGAGATGTATGGCGTCTGTGGTGTCTTCGTTGCTGGGGCGACGGTTCCGGCACATGCAGCAGGTTGGAGCTGGGGACTTGTGAGTCTGTCTGGCTGTAAAGAGTGCGTGAATAAATGCTGTTTGATATTATACCCGACATATCACCTTGACCCATAAGTAATATTTGGATCAGATAAACCAGATACACTAAAAGTGTGTAACGATTTCTACACCCTCTGTGCACGATTACAATCAACGACACGGATCTGAAACCGGATCCAATTCAAACGGGCTGTTCCACAGTATACGGGCCAGGTAATATAGTGAGTGAATATGGTTTTAAGCAGCTTTTAGCAATATTCCAGCAATATCAGGGCGGGGGACACCAGAAATGGGCTTCACACATTGTACCCATGTGGGGATACCGGGTCTTCGGCGTGGCGAGCGAATGTTTTGAGCACTAGGCGTCCCCACCAACCCAGGGATTATAACACAGCTTTGACCATTTTTGGTGTTTATATTCTGCTTCATTTAAAAATGAATGAATGATGATTTACGCCTCATCACCAGTTTTCATGCTTTTCGCGACTGACGTGTCATGCAAGTCAAAACATTGATTACACAACCGTCTCGTTTCCTGCAGACTGGGTTCCGTCCTATTGCGCAACTCAGAACAATAACCAGTCCAGAATTTTGAGACCAACTCTTTCAACTGGATACATAAATATTAATCAGTATCATTTAATACATCTAATCATTTTCATTTTAATCATTTTACGACCTCATCAAACAGGGACAGTCTGTGACGTCTTCGGTAACATCATGCTGCCTAAACTTCGGCATTAAATATAGAAATACGATTTTTCTAAAGCTGGAAATTTAAATATATTTGTAAATATCATTTTCTTACGAAACAAGGAATTGGAATTTCGTGTAACCATAATTGATTGTAGTGTCTCTTTTCACTTTCACACAAGAAAATTCGGATCGGCTGAAAAGTAGGTCATTGTCTGAATGGGTTCATGAGACTCATGTGTCGGTTTGGTAATTAGAAGAGGAGGTATAAGCACTTAATCACTTTAAAAACTCTCCGACATAGGCCAATATTCACAACAGAGTAAAAATGTTACATGGCAATAATCAATCAATGTCCACTGACCAATTTGGAAGTATACTCTCCCAAAAAGAAACGCATATAGGAATTTCAACTGTATTTTTATGTTTATTTTGAAACATCTTGTTTCAATGAAATATAGCGAAATTGCACACGGGAATGCAGGCGTATCCGTCTTTGGCACCAACTCGAGGAAAGTCAGTTTGAGTGTCACATGGAGACGTGTGGGGGCGCTGAAGTCAATACCTCGTGTGACCACCATGGGCATCCGGAACTGCACGGCATCGCCTCGGCATCGAACGAATAAGTCTCAGAATCTCGTGTTGCCCAATCGCAGCTCACTCTGCCTGTAGTGCCTGTGCGAGTTGCTTAGGTGTCTGGGGCTGAGGGTTACGGCGTCGCACCCGTCTGTCCAGGGCAACCCACAGATGTTCGATCGGGTTTAAGTCCGGTGATCTTGAGGGCGAGGGGAGCACATTGATGTTGTGGTTCTGGAGGAAGTCTCTAGTGTGACGTGCTGTGTGGGGCCTGGCATTGTCCTGTTGAAACAACTCCCTCTGGCGATCAATGATTGGAAGGAGGTGTGGGCGTAGGATTTCGTCACAGTACCGCTAAGCTGTCAGGTTGCCCTGGATCATCACAAATCACTTCTCCTACGGCAGGTGTTCGCTCCCCACATCATAACACTGTCCCGGCCGAATTTGTCAACCTGGGGAACGCAAGCGTCGGCGAAACGTTCACGTCGACGTCTGTACACCCGCATTCTTCCATCGCGTCGTTCCAATAGAAATCGTGATTCATCACTGAACCAGATTCTACGCCAATTCGGTAGGTTCCAGGCCTGAACGTTGGTGCACCATTGAACTCGATGTCGACAATGTTGTTGTCGAAGCACAGGGCAAAAATAAGGTCTTCTGGCACGTAAACCAGCCTCTCAACCTGTTCCTGACGGTCTGTGCAGAAAGCCTCCTCAATCCGGGTATTTGTCGAGCGGTACTGGTCGCCGTAGCTGTTCGATGACGCAGGTGATGTACCCGGATGTAGCGATCCTGCGCCGCAGTTGTCGCTCGATGTCGCCCACTACGAGGGACATCTGCTACCGCATTCTGCCGGCGATATGTCTCCCAGAGCCGTGAAATGGTGCTTTGGTGACCAGTCATGCGTCGGGCAACTGCACGTTGAGACTGGCCAGCTTCAAGCAAACCAATGGCGATATGATGGTTGGCTTCACTTTGACGTGGCATTTTGCGTTCGTCAACAATATTCCAAATCCAGTGAATAATCGACAGACAGCGACCAACGTTTTATACCCATCATTGAGACTATCTGATCCCCAACTTTCACGAGCATTGCATGTTGAATTGTGTATTTTGTGACCCTACACGCCGAAATTGAAAATCATGCTGTTAAATACGGGTATTTAACGGATGGTGCGTTTTGTTGTGATGTTTCAAAACATAAACACCATAGGATTCATGAACAGAGCAAAACCTTTTGTAAAATGAATCACGTTTTAATTCATTGCTACATGAAATTGCTATTTTCATGATGCGTTTCTTTTTTGGGAGAGTATAGTTATGACATTATCCGGCTAAACATAGATACTGGTTGACATTTAATATGGCAATCCAGTATTTTGTTGTTCAACGCCGCGCTTAGCAATATTCCAACTATATGACGGCTTTCTGTTAATAATCGAATCTGGACTAGAGAATCCAGTGATCAACAGCATGAACATCGATCTAAGCAGCTGGAATACGATGATATGTGTCAACCAAGTTAGCAAGACTGTCTACATGATTCCCGTTAGTCGCCTCTTACGACAAGCATGGTCTGCTGAAGACCAATTCTAACCCAGATAGTAGAGCAAAACTGACGTTGCTGCATGTGCAGGGGTCCTGTAGGGTAGCGTGGTCCCACGTGGTTTACATCGGGAGGCTGGGGGAAATTGATGGCATTGGCCCACTCTTGCGCCTGACATCTGACCCGGAAGTCGCCGTCATCACGAGACCAGAAGTCCGTTGGTGAAACAGACTGTGAAGTAAAAGAAAATGAGCATTTCCTGTTGAGATTGTTTTCCGCTCTATAAATTATTGTTCAGTTATACCTAAAACAGTAAAACACACGTCACCTAAAGCTTGGAAACTGTTTTGTATTAACTCAAGAAACACTTCAACATTGAATGCAGTGTAACAAAGTGACTCAGGAAGTCTTAACAGTAAAAGTGAGTTTTTGAAATGGCCAATTGGTGTGTTTTCAGCGACTTCGAAGAAAAGTGTAGCACCTTTTTGACACGGACAAAGCCAAAAATTGGGGAGGAGTTGGAAGACTATGACATGTCAGCGAGCCTGACCACCCGATCCCGTTAGTCGCCATACGACAAGCATGGGTTGCTGAAGACCAATTCTATAGGGGTATCATATTGCATTACTTAGTAAACGAACTGAATCTAAATCCAATGTTTTATTTCCCAATACACTACCATTACCTTGTGGTTATTCCTCACGTTGAAGTACTCTGGTTTTTCTATGCCTGTCTGAGAGTAGTATATGCTAGGGACACCACGTACGTTGTAAAATATGTTATTTGATATGTCGTTGCCTGAAACATAAAGGTGAATGCGATGATATGATAAGATTGTCTTTAAGGGTTATAAATATAATCCAAAATAAAATTAGTAATAGTTAATTGTCTTTCAAGGTATGGAACGAAGTGAGAACTTTTTTTTATAATTACACATATTTGCAACATCTGCCTACAAACAAAGGGGTATGAATTGAGAATTATGTAAGTTTTGTTGAAAGATAATTGTTTTTGAATTATTACATTTCGCCTGTAACCAGCAAGAAACACTCTATTTATGTTCTGATATTAAATCAACACTATTGTGTTGACATTTATGATGCCGCTATGTCTGTCCCCGATATATAAATGACACAAAACCATTACCATGATCATTAGAAAAGAAGAAAATAAACACAGAGACTACTGTACGATTCTTACTATATTATGAGCATATGTTTATGAACCAGTCATAGTGGAAAATTGAGCCTATCCTGCTACTCGTCAATTGTTTTCAGTACGTTTTCAGTTTACAAGATCATTTGTTATCCCTTAAGCTGTTAATAAAATTGCCAGAAGGTTATGAACTCATTTCCGGACCTGCTGGTTGAAGAGGGTTCGTTATGTTCGCCAGTTTAGGGTATCTGCTGGTCCACAGGGGGCTGGTGTAAGGCACAGCCTGGAATGTAATATGACCATTGGTTGTTAGAATATGCTTATACAGCGAATCTCACCCGAGTGTCTTTGGATATCAAATATATCACCACGTGAGGCTTGCCGAGGGGTTTTCTCACATTTTTCAACGAGTGGTGATACATTTGATATAAAAAAACACTTGGGCGAGATTCTATTTATCATCCAATACCATACTTAATTTGTCGTTCAAGAGAAACTAAGAACGAAACGTCACCTGTATTAAGATCATTTGAAGACTAGCGTATGAATACATTCAAGAGATCAAGAGTGATGGAAGAGGGAACGAGGGACATCATGGCGTCATATAAAACAAGCACACAAAAAAGTAGTGCTAACATTTGTTGCTTTAAATTCTGTAAAGCATAAGTTTTACCATTTCTTGGTGGCATTTTAAGTAAATTTTATACCGTTAGAACAAATCATGAACAAATATAACTCGATTTCCGGAGGCCATCTTTGTTTACAGCTAAGGAAGATGAAAGTAGTCCGAAATTATTGACCAATCAGCAATTAGATCAAAGCCTACCAAACGATATCTCCTCTGGATACCAGTATTGGAAGATAAAGTTTGTTTAATCCAACACCAGGTGAAAAACAGCTGTTTGTAACATATTACGAAAAAAATGTATTCATCCTTAATCAGGAAGTAAATACGCTATTACATTAGAGTGGATATTTTGCGATTTTGAGCTATCTATTTCCAGCGGTCCAGCCAGACGAAACATTGGATACTTCTTTCATACAAACAATATGGCACACGCCCGTGTCATAGTAACCGCTTTTTATCACCAAAACTGGCTTCCAGTGAAGATATTCCTTGAGTGAAGTCACGCCACATCTCCTAGGACATACTCGCTTTAATCTAATTGCGTCACAACGCTTAACAGTGACGTCACACTTTATCACTCTTTATCACCAATAAGTATGCTCCTGATGATTGTTGATAATTTTTTGACACTCAAGTCTCTGGTTATCAATGTTTACAAACTGAAACAATATGAAGAATAAGACAAAAATAGAATAATGATAATTATTTTTTCATCCTCATCGATATAACGTTTGATTCGCTTAGCAAATCGTTTGCGTGTTTTTATATCAAAAGACTTTAGATGTATGGCATAGACGCTTCTAAGATCAAAGATGAAATAGGTTGTTGGGAGAGTGAAAATTGGCATATTTGCATTCCTATAATTCAATTTTCTTTTATTTATAATATACCTGAAATCTGTTGGTTAACGTTAATTCTAATGTATTTTATTTCATCTGTACACTGAGGCGCGGATGGGGTAGACTAGTGCTTAGAGTGTTCGCTCGACTCAAAGATTCTGAAAATCCGGGTTCGATTCCCGTCATGGGTGGGTATATGTTAAGCCTATTTCTCACTCACTCTAAAAGCTGGATGGGTACCTGTTCCTTAGCATCTATCCTCCAGACTAATAAACCACAAACTAGTTTTAAAGGCCAAAATATGGTGTGTGACAAAACTGAGATTTGTGTTTACCTTGAGATGCTGCATCAGTTCAGCTTCGTTGGAATGGTGCAGTCCCCTGCCGTCAACTTGTATGGAATCGGCAGTGGCGTTGTAGAAGACATTGTAGCGGATGATGTTGTCACGGCCTCCGCCGATGTTGGTGTGAACCTCATTCTATGGAAATAACAGTAAATTGATGTAATATTCTTCCCTATGTATGATTAATTTCAGAGAACAGAAATATCGGAGTGTTCTTCATGCGAATGCCCAATGCTGACCCTTTTCTGGCCAAAATTATTTTGTTCTGCAAAATTCCACTCTGCTTCGATCTATTTTTTGTTACTTGGATTGTTTTCTCATTTCATCAAGTTGCTTTAAAAAAATAAGAAAAAAATAAACATATACACAATACTCAAATGAACGAGAAAATAATCGAAGCAAAGAGGAAATGCTCAAAATTTTAAATTTTTGAAAGAAACTTAAAGTAACGAGGAAATAGTAAAATAAAACCACAATAATAGAAGAAAATTTGAAATTTGGATTAGAAAAATATTTTATGTTACAAAAGTGTCAGCATTAGGTTTTCGTACTATAACTCTGTTACTATGTCACTTGGACTTACATCGTAGAAGACGTTGTGTTCTATGTTGACGCTGGAGTACTCGTCGTCCAGCATGATGCCTCGGACCTGGGCTCCGGGGACGTATCTCAGATTGTGGTGGATGTGGTTGTAGCGGATGACGTTGCCTCGCTGATAACGGAGTGAAGGTTGTCAGTTGTGGAGCAGTTTCAGATTAAACACTTTGGTCAGACATTTAGTCGGATATTGGCACTACCACCACCACAACTGACAATATTTTAATATTTTTGGGTTAGTGTATTCCATGTGCCACGTAATTGTTTTAAAGGCAGTCGTCGAGTTAGTGAGTGAGTGAGTGAGTTAAAATTTAAAGTCACATCGGCAATATTTCAGCCATAACAGGAGTTAGTGAGCTTAGGTTTACGCCGCTTTCAGCAATATTTGAGCAATATCACGGCGGGGACACACGAAATGGCTTTTACACATTGTACCAATTTGGAGAATCGAACCAGGGTGTTCCGCGTGACGAACGAACACCTTAACCACTAGGCTACTCCGCCGTCTCTGATGTTATTGGACCGAATTTGCATATTATCTTCTGAATAAATATACATCCCACACACCATGGTCCAGTCTCTCCCGGCGTGGATGGCCCCGCAGTCACTGGAGTTGACACACACGTGATGTACATGGTTGTATTCCATCACGTGATCATTGCCCTGCAATAGAACTAAAACGTGAACTAAAACTAAATGAGTGAGGTGGGTTTAACGCAAAATTCCAGCAATATCACGGCGGGGGACACCAGAAATGGGCTTCACACATTGTACCCATGTGGGAATCCAACCCGGGTCTTCAGCGAACGCCTTAACCACTAGGCTATCCCGCCCCCAGCTGAAACTGAAAGTCACATTAGCGTTATTGCAGCCATATATCGACGAGTCACGTATTTGATGACTTAAAACACACATCTCAATCGATTGTATTATCACCCGACACAGTAAACTAAGTAATGTAGCATGCGCTTATAACGGTGAGGTGAGGTGAAATTTGGTTTTACGTCGTGCTTGAGAATAGTTCGCTCATATGACGACGTGCATGCGTGTGTATGTGTATGTGCGGCTGCTTGTACTAGCCCAGACTGAAGCTGGTTTTATAGTGCTAGCCCACTGAGATACCATGCCGCAGTGAAGCATGAATACCCCACTCAGACACATTATACTGACTCCGAGCCGACCAGTCCTTGCTGTACCCATTAATGCCGAGCGCCAGGCAGGGACCAAGAAGTACCATATTTTAACGTCTTTTGGTATGACGCGGTCGGGGATCGAACCCGCGACCTTCCCCTCTCCGGGCGGACACTCTAACAACTACACCACGGAGGCGGTCGCGGTTATAACGAACAAGGATTTTTAAGGGATCCGGCAACATGCTGTGTATTTAGTCGAAAAACGTGTAACGTACTATGGTTATAACGAATAAAATAGTGGACCCTTCCAGTCCATTATAACCGTAGTCTAGAGTGTAATTGTTAATTCTGGTCGTCATGTTAAGGGCAGAAGGCCATCCATAACGAAAGATTATGGAAGGAACTAATTCTGAATCCATGCCTTCATAAAAATCGTGGAACCCATTTGTGGTATCCCCCGCCGTGCTACACCATACTGCTAAAACGGCGTAGAACCACACTCACTCCTCACTCACCCACTCATTCACAAGGACACGTTAATTGATATTTTAAGGTATTACTAGACTGATTATGTTCCTCATTCTGTAATATTTCTATTTTTGCATTACCATCTAAAATCGAATAAATCGATTGCATTGAAATATACGTGAACCAATATTGGTGTTACCGCCCATCTGATTCCCGTGTACTGGCCGTCGTGGATGTGGTTGTAGCGCATGGATATCCCAACTCCTCCGGGGCTGATGGCGTTGTAGCCGACGCCCCCGACACGTGCATACTGCCAGATATGGTTGTCCTGTATCAGATTGCCAGATGGAGATAGTGTCTTTCGATCACCACCTATTCCAAATAATATCATACATCGTGCATCAGTTTATGTGAATAACGGTTATATCATGGCGTGGGATGAAATGTGGTACAACGTCGCGTTCAGGATTTCTGCATTTAATTATGTATATAGATTATTTATTTGTTGGTTGTCTAATACTGCACTTAACACTTTCCCCGTTACATGACGACCGGCAATAAATAGTCGAGTCTGGACAACAAAGTGATTGATATAATGAGCATCATTCTTCAAACTGATACGACGACATGCACCAACCAAGTCAGCTACCCTCACAACCCGATCTCGTTATCCGTCTCTTGCGACAGGCATGGGTTGTCGAAGACCATTTCTAACTGGGATATATAGTGATAGCCACTAGTGAGATATCATAACCCAGTTTCATATACATGCCAAACAGTATACTGACTCGCTGTTAGTCAGTTTGTATTATGTATTTTATGCCGAGCGACAGGCATGGAAACAACAAGTACCACGTATTTTGGTGTAACGACGCCAGAGCCCGAACTACCAACTTTCTGCGCAACACTACGACGCCCCATCATCATACAAGGGAGGCGGTCAGGTTATTGAAATGGTTGGTTCTGGATTCTTAAGTTCTTTAGAATGTTATTTTAATAAAATAATAATAGTTATTTGACATTCCTTTTTGTAGTATTCCTATATTTTTGCTTAAATGGTGTACATCGAAATACAAAAAGTGGCATCAAGGACCGACAGGCCTCTTATATCAGTATCACTTACCTGTGATTGAAATTCCTCCACAGGTGTGATGTATCTCACACGAAGACACGGTCACGTACCGACAGTCTCCAGAACAATGGATTCCATAGCCACCTGAAAGAAGTATTGTCTTAGATCTACAGGTGTCTCATCACAAAATAACAAAGACGATATTTCAGTCTGCTGATTTATTTCCAGACTGCTATGGAATGGCTCACTTAGCGGTATCTTGGAACGTTTTAAGGTCTCAACAATGTATATGGAATTCCTGGCAGTGTGCAAAACAGTGGCAATTTTATCTAGACGGCGCTCGTGCTCTGGCACTTATCACATCAAGTATACTGAAAGGAGAAAGAAACGTCGTAATATTGGAGATGACATTTAAGAATCGAATGTCAGTTTGTGTGTTTGCATTGAAAAATGAACGACGTCAAAGCGGTGTTCAAACAGTGTGTTTTAATACCTGTAAAATGTTGTAATGCCATTCTATTCAAGAACGTATTGCAGCGATGTTTGTATACCAGGCGATTTTTTTACACATGTATCCCAACCCTTGAAGAAATAGTTCTCAAAGTATTCGATCTTTAAAATATAACAACAAATTCGTCATGAGGTTTGAAACTGCTTTAATAAGTATAACATCAATAACATTACCAAACAGAAACAAATAGCAATAGCAATAACAATATCATTTTACCAAACCTTTTCACTATGACGGATTCGTTTGACCGCGTAATAATACACTGACCGGCTTCGAAGTTGTGCGGCGTAGCGAATAGATCTTCTTGTATTCTATTTATTTGTGATTGTTTATTGTGAAATTTATTGAGTAGTTGTTAAATAGACCTCGGGGCAGAAAACCGCCAGATGAACCCGCAAACTGCGAGACATTAAACTCCTGTGAAAAGGAACAATGTTGGGCAATCCGTTTGGTAGTGACATTGCCAAACTTGGGATGAATTGAAACAGATTCGTTCGCGAAAATGGCATCACCAATTGCAGCAAGATTATTGGGGGTCCTTGAAACCTAAGCGAAAAACGTTCACACACGTATGAACGATGTTTACACAAGTATGAACGATTAGAAGGGTTCAAGAGTAATGAACCTTGAAATTTACATCACATGACCGCTCTCTCAACCAACCAACGTTCGGGAATCTGTGTAAACTTGAAAGTAAGAAATTATTAGGTATCAATGGAGTATTTGTACCTCAAACAATAGTTTATTGGGCCAATCAGGCTATCCGACCATGATTCATGGTTTCTTCAAACTACTTCCGGTGTACATTTAAAGAAAAATAGGTTCCAATACTTCACTGATACTTGAATGTCATTCCCACATATTACGTCGTTTCTTTTGCCTTTCAGTATATATATAAACTTCTGGTAAAAAAAGTACGCATCTATGTTTGATTATGGCTAAAATGAAACAAACAAGAAATTATCGAAGATGATGTTCGTAGTACGGGTGTCACAGTTGCTTTAGGACCTTCAGTTTACAGTCTTTTGGTGACTGTTTTAATACATTTTAATAGCATATGCTATATTTGGTGTTTCTCAGTAAAGTATAGATTCAAGTACTTTTTAGGCTTAGTCCCTTACGGGAATCGATCCCAGTCAGTCAGAGTCAGTCACCGAATCACCAGACACAAAGTCAGCGATTGAACCCACTCAACCACCGTGGCTACCAGTGGAACCTAAATAAGTAATACAATCTGTACTTCACTGAGAAAGTATAATCCGAAATACGACATATGTTAACGTATGTTATTTTTGAGTCAAATTAAATTTTCAAAGGTTTACTTTCTTTGGCCCGTGAGTATTTCCTTAAGCTGTAAATATAAAGTAGACATACCTGTATTCTTTATCTCCATTTTCATGAAGTCAATATTGTGACCATGGTTCAGATCAAATCCATACCGCCGACAAGCCTCCAAAGAGAAACCTTCGAAGTGGAGATTGTTTACCTCAAAATCTGTTCTGTAACACACACCATACCATAAACATTATCATTAACATACACGTTCCTCAGAACTACAACCGACCAACGTTCGGGAATCTGTGTTAACTTGAAAGTACGAAATTATTTAAGTATCAATGGAGTATTTGAACCCCAAACAATAGTTATTGGGTAAATCAGGCTACAGAACTACACTCCAAAGAACTGTGGAAGTCGCGGTGGCTGAGCGGATTAGGCGGCTGTGTTACGACGTAAATTGTAATAAAAACGCAAATTGTAATACTTGCAGCAAATTGTAATAAACTTGACGTAAATTGTAATAAAAACGTAAATTGTAATAAAAATTGACGTAAATTGTAATACGCAAATTGTAATAAAAATTGACGTAAATTGTAATAATTTTCGTTGCGGTAAAATGTAATAAATATTTACGTAAATTTGTAATAACAGTTTTAATCACTCGTAAATACGCGGGTGTTTGTTTTTCGTTGCATGTCATACATCAAATAAGCTTGTTAGGGCGATAACTCAAGAAAGAAATGATGGATTTTTGTTTAAATTTGGTACCAAGGTATATTGGCGAGATTCACCAACACAAGTGAAATGGAGTGACCTTGAGATAATTTTCAAGGTCACAGCAAAAATCTGAGGGTTTTGCCAATATAAGGATTGTTAGTGCGATAACCCAAGAATGAATTGACAAATCTTAGTTAAATGACGAAAATTATATTCGTCCTGATATATAATCGATATAAACTGTCCTCTGTATCATGTCTTTTCGCAAATATCTTTTTGAGGTTTTGATATGTATACATATAAAGTGGGGTGGGGTAGGGGTGGGTTTCTAACGGGTATATCTAACACACTTGCATGCATGTAGAGTCGGAGAGGTGGGTGGGTGTTCGGGTATAACTACGAGGGACGTTCAAATAGTAGTCAGCCTTACCTAGAATATGATACAAATGCGCTGTTTTTATGTTTTATTTTTCTATATATAATCTGTCAGCCTCAAGCAAATTGGTTTTGCTATGTTGCAGCCTCACGATCCCCATTTTGTGAGACTTTGTATCTTGGCTTGGTACTCCCCAAAAAGGTAAAATCTGCAATAAAATGCATCACAAACTTCAGGAAACAAAATATGCTATGTTTGAGATTGGTAGAAGTCGGCTAGAATCAAACATAGATATTAAACTTCACAAAACGCAATTTCAAAACTACAATCGCTTGTTCAAATGACTCCCCATTCTGTTTACTGAAAGAACTCGAGAAAGAAATGATGGATTTTGTTCACATTTGGTACCAAGGTTTATTGACTGGAGATTGAGATTTACCGACACCACTTGAATTTAGTGACCTTGAGGTCATTTTAAAGGTCACAGCGAAGGTGTAACAGTTTTGCACATGCCAAGCTTGGTAGCCGCGAACTCAGGAAAGTATTAATAGATTTTGATCCAGTTTTATATCAAGGTGTATTGGCGGGATTCCCCCAACACCAATTGATTGGGAAACTTGTGCTCATTTTAAGTTCACAGTGAAAAGTGTTTTGCACATGTCTAACTTTTAGTGCGAAAATACAAGACAGAATTAATATGTTTTGCTTAAAGGTAGTACCAAGATGCGTTGGGAGTATCGTCTAACGCCAGTCCAATTCAGTGACCTTCGGATTATTTTCAAGGTCACAGCGAGTATTCTTGCGATATCTCCAAACCTAATGGGTGGAATTTGTTCGCAATTTGTATCAAGGCATCAGATGACAGTTTCGGTAACGTTTACATAATTTTCAGGGTCAGACAGAGGATAATTGCGACATTCAGATATCGACATGTGGCGGGGGTAATAGCTATGTTTGTGACAAACGCTTTGTCATTACTAATTTTCAAATTTTTGTTAGCATATGGTTTCTATAATTTCATGTTAATTCTACCAGCTGTGAAATTATTCGTGACACGTCTTAAAAAAGCCAGAGATTATTTGTGTATGTTTAAAGTTAATTGTTTTTCATTATGGAGTTATTTTCGATGTTGACGCAAGGACATATTTTACGAGCAATAGCTTTCAATAATTTAATGTTATTTCTATTACATTTTGAAGTTCTTCATAGCTTATCCCAAAATAACAGGATATTGTTTGTTTACGCTTTGAAATGTACGTTTCTTTTTCCTCATTTTCGAATTATTTTCAATGTTGACGCAATGACATATTTGAAGTTAATTTAATGTTTTAATCATATGTGATTTATTATGATTTATGTTTCGATCATACATTCATATATTGCGTTGTCATAGTTTAACCTGGTTCGTATTATTTTCTTCATCATATTACTACATATTATTGTATTTTTATGAGAGGGAATTTTAAGTTACATTTGCTAAGGATATCATAAATCGCTGGCGCCTGGTTATTCCTTGTCACATAGCAGTCAATCTGTCTACTCATTTGTTGTATTTGATTGATGCATATAAAATAAAATGTAGAAATGATATTGAATTGCATCATTTGCTTCAAGGAATCGATCAGATGTGCTCGTTATCAAAGTAAAGTCAAAACTTCTTTCTGTAAGGTATACAGTGGAAGTTGACACCTTAATTGTTATGGGTAGACCAAAGAAATCATTTATTTAGTTTCACCGCTCAAAATACAACAAAGAATTCAACGGGTGGCATTAACCTCAAAGAATGATCATAACAATGCTTATAACATACGAGGGCAAACATATCGGGGATAATTTGTTTTCATGCGATATGCACCGGGTGAAATATCACTTTGTCATGGTGACATGACATCATGAACAATGTTATGACGTCACGTTGCTTCTAAGAAGCCGCCTTCTAAATACAACGATGACGGGGAGCCTGCCTTTGTTGGAAATTAGATTATCGCGTAATTTCCGCAATTAAAGACTTCGGTAATAAATAGAAAATTATATTCGTGACCATAATATGCTAGGTTAACGACCTAAATATCGGCATATTCCTTCTCTGGTTCCGAAAATACCAAGATTTAGGCAGTTGTGTTGTAAACTGATATTTATCTTCTATAAAGTCGGCTATATTCAAACCATGAGAAATGTCGTCAAATAATGTCTGATGACAGTTACCAACGTCCCAATAGTGTCCATATATTTTAGAAATCTATAACAATAAAGCACAACCTCACTACTTTTTTGATAAATGACAAAGGATTAATCAACCATATTAAAAGGTTTTCAGGCTTGAAGGACGAAGCTCATTAAAATCTATTGCCAGCTCCCTTTTAGAGACTGATAAAAGGTTCGAAAATGTGGGTCATAAATGCATGAAAGTTTTTATTGTTGTTCATACCCGTTAAGCCTCCCGCCTCTACATGTATTTGAGATATAACCGTTAGAACCACCACCACCCCCTCTATGTCTTAAAGTATGCTAGATATAACCGTTAGAACACACCACACCACTTTTCTGCCCATTGATTCAATTGGGCTAAATCATAGTTGAGAGTTGCTTCTTTGGATTTTACATATTTTCCCGCAACACCGATTGATGTGTCATCGGCCAACATTATTGTGATATTTTGTAAATTTCCAGGTAAATCATTGATATATACAAGGAACACAAATTAACCAAGGGCAGATCCTTGAGGAACCCCTGCAGTAACATTTAGTTTTTCATAAAGTTCCATTAACAGAGACACACTGTCGTCTAGTTAGTTAACCAACTAAGTACGTTTCCACGAACACCATCATTTTCTAATTTGTGCAATAAACCTTTATGCCCTGCCCTGTAAAAAGCTTTTGAAATATCACAAAACAGCATACAGTAAAGGTGGTGATTATCTAGGACTGAGCATATATTATGATAAATGTCTATGTTGAGATGTAGTAGAATGACTAGCAGTAAAACCTGACTGGAATTTACTTAAAATGTTATGTTCATGGAAATGGTCGTGCACATGCTTTACCATTATTCTTTCAAGGATTTTCCAAAGGATAGGTATTAAACTAATAGGTCTGTAATTAGTTGGGAGGGATGCATTTCCTTCTTTCAAAATAGGAGTAACATTACCCGTTTTCCACAATGTAGGAAATACAGTCACTCAGTGATATATTATACAACAAACAAAGAGGTTCAGCTATAGATGTACAAATTCGTTTTACCCCTCTCATGTTAATGCCATCAGGTCCACTAGATTTGTTTGCTGGTAAGGTAAGGCGTTATTACAGCAAAGGCTGAGCGGAAGGAGAAATAACATGATTTCGGCACTGTGAGACTATTAAGAAAGGTCACATGCAGCGCAATAATATTCCAATTATGTACTGCCAAAAACTATTTTACCGTAGTGAGCTGAATAGACTTAAGAATTACGAGTTGGTACGTGTGGCATATTTGGCTATGCTCTAAGAGAGACATCCTCGATAATCTCCAGGGTATACGTTACGATCACTCTCCACTATACCCTGGATGCATACACGGCTTAGGGCGATGATTTTATTACCTCCCTTGGCTGGCTCCGCATTCTCACAGTAGCCAATCAGCTAAGCCGCCGTTACAACCGAGCTTGCCAGTGTCAACAAGGAAAGCGGTCGCAGTCGCGAAGGTTTTTTCGCAGTGCCACTCAGATTTTTGGGGAAATAATAAAGACAAATTGACAGATCTGAAACTTTAAAAAATATATGACAGAACTCCTTCTACTTCTTTCAGAGTACCTCTGCATCAATTGTGTTGCCAAGTTTTAACTGTTAGATAATTTAAGAAGCGAAAGTGAGTTGTGATTGGTACGCTCAACTTCCCAGCGTAGGCACCTGATTGGATAAAAAGCCAGCCAATTGAGGTAATAAAATCATCGCCCTAAGCCGTGGATGCATCCAGGGTATAGTGGAGAGTGATCGTAACGTATACCCTGGAGATTATCGAGGATGTAAGAGAGATAAAGTGCTATTCTATTGGGACAGCTAGGGACACTTGAGAGGACAAAGAGGCACCTCATCGCCCTTTGTTCATAACTGAACCTTTTAATCCCTCGAAACAAGCACCTCACAAGATCTG